TGGATAATTATTAATGAAAGCAAATTTCATATAATCTTATAAATAATTGTTCATAAAGTACACCTATACATATATGAATCATACTCTTCCTATATCTGCAAATTTAACTATTTTTAATCTTGTTATTTAAAATAAATTTTGTCAATATTTATTCATTGTCAAATTTAATTTAATTTATTTTTTAACTTTTACAAAATTTGTACTTAGGTAGTCTTGTATGTAGTATTAAATTACAAATGTTAAGTGCTAAAAGATATTAAATTACTCAATGGCTAAGAAAAATTCGAAGTCACTTTTTAAATAAGTATAAATGATTAAAAAATTATTTGAAAAAATTAAATACGTGATGTTTTTCTGTAGATTTCATTATCGATCATCGGTAACACTTATCCACTCCCTATCTCTCGTTGATGATCGCGCTGCTTTCATCACATTATAAAAAAAAGTCTTAAACTACAAGTAAATATTAAACAAATATTCGTAGATACAGCTTTATATTTCTAAATCAAACAAATTATACAGATTACATTTATTAAAATAAAGTAAAAGTTATGTTACTATATTAATCTAATTTCTTATAAAAATGTCGTTCCTTTCATTAATAAACATAAAAATGTGATAATATATCACTTTTTAATTGTTTATGACAAACAGGATTAATACATAAAAATGCAGTTATATTTAAAAAATGTTTAAATATTTATGAAATTAATATACGAGAACTATACGAGAATTATATGAAAATGGAATTAAATATTATAGTTTATTATTAAAATTCTAGAACTTTAATATAATCATGATGAAACAAAAACAATAAAAATCTAACTTACATTTGTTTTGAGAATTAAACATTTTACGAGAGAAACTAGGAGAAAGTAGAAAGTAAAGGAATGCTAAAGCACATGAGGAACAATATTTGAAATTTTTATTTGCAATAATGTGATCAGTCCGAAAAATTCTTTAAGTAACACAACTATTAGAAATTATGAACTCAGCGTTTATTTATTACATATATTATTTCGGTTTCTAAGCTAAATAAAAATTGTAAAACATACATACTTTTAAACGGTATTACCAAAATACCTGCAGTTTTTAATTGCACGCATTTAACCAACGTTACGTAATACATGACAATGGATACTATACAATCGAGAAATGTGTTTTTTTTTCAAAATAAAGAATCTGCTTATCGTACACAAATAACTCAATAAATAACATTCAATTCATAACATCATTAATATATGTACTTTTCAGGTATTTTTACTGTTAAAAGATAAGTTTAAAGGAAAGAAACCCACCTGCTTCCTCGAATTGACGATACAAATACACTACCGGTTGAAAGTATACCACGTTTTCCGGTTAACGAAGAAGAAAAACGTTAATCTGCGAAGGTCAAATGAAACTTGTATACTAAAATGGAATTCGAATAAGTTATGTAACTGCAGATTCCACAAAGTTTTATTATAATACTATTATTTCCCATAAATTGAGAACTCGTTTCATAGTTTTGACCGGAAGTGTATCTAAAAGAAAATACTGATTGAAGTATCTAAACACCTACTCCTCCAACAACTCTCAGCTAATTGAAAAGTATCTATTGCTGATGGATGTCCCACAGGTTACATAACGTAGAGACTGATAGTAAATATCATCGTACCAACTACATATGCGTTATTACGTTGTTTTTCCATCTCGGTGTTTCCTAAATTGTTCACGAACGCAGTACCCTAGTTTCTTCGAGCTTCACATCACGCGATCAGCTAATGAAACCGAGCCTTGAAAGTAGCACTGCGACTCGACTCCAGCGAGAAAGCAAAGAAGAGTCTCGAATCACTCGATCCCGGATTTAAGCAGCATCTCTTTCGCTGGAAACGCGCGGGGCTTATACACTGACTACATGTACATTGCGTCTCACGCACCACGCTCAAACGTATATATATATAGTATATCACATGGTCCGTTGTTTGCCTCGCTGTTGCAGGACGTAGAAAAGGGTGAACTCCATACCGACGCCGTAGGTCTCTCATCGTCGATCTGTTCACGGCCGACGTCTTCGTCGCGGACGTCGACGTCGGCCGAGAGCAGGGTCGAGCTTGAGGATAAACTAAGAGGCAACAAGTCAAATGTGACGAGCGTAGAGGTGGAAGTGGAAGTGGAAGTCGTTCCGAACAATGAACCGGCGATAGGTACGTCGAACGTAGAGGACGCGCACGGGAGAGACACGGTTACGAACGGTTCGGCGAGCGTTGTGTCTTCTTGTGAGTAGGAGCGGGGACGGAGACGACAACAACGACAACGGCCAAGACGAGGACGCGAACGGGAACAGGAACGGAAACGAGCGAGTCTAGTCGGTGGAAGGCAGTCGGCCGGTTGCTTCGCCGCTTGGCGCTCATCATGCTTCTGTTGGCGGGTTTGGTCGCCTGCTTGACTCTGCTCGTCATGTACGCGGGCCCCATTTCTCTCGTGCAGCTGTTTGTGGTTGTTCTCGTCGCGTATTTAGTCTCCGGAGGACGATTTAGATGGTTCTACGTCGCCTTCAAGACTCTGCCCAGAGATTTCAAGTGAGTAATAGCTTTTTTTCATATTTGCCTTTTATTGTCTTTCTTCTTTTTGGTGAACTAAAATAGTGACACTTGTTGCGGGGTGATTTTCAACGTTTTGTGCATGCACACTTGCGTTCCTGAATGTTAAATGAGTTATATTTTTATGAAATATTGTATTTGATAGGTTCCGGATAGTTCTAAATAATGTCGAAATAGCTTTTAGTGTTTGCCTAAGATGTATTCTAGTATTGTCAATGTATTCTAATCTGTCATTGTTCTGTTAGTAATCTCTACGGTTCGGTGCTGTATTTGCTAGTCGTTTTTACAGTTAGTCGGGTCACCTTTCAGGTTCCCCGCACGATTATTTTTCCCGCGCAGAATGAAACAAAACTAAGTATTTACTTATCTATCCTAATTATTGCTAAAAGATAAGAAATAAAAAAGTCCACAAACACGTGCTCCTTATTTTGGGTCACGGATTACACACACCAGTTTAGATGGAAATAGATTAACTTTTAATATGAAAAAAGCAATATAATTTTACATATTCCTCAACTTTGAGGGCACTCTTTAACCTCCGTCCCCCGCCGTGTAGATAATGGTTGATAAAAAAAGTATATTTTTAGATACTTTTGTGAATTACAATACATTTGCAAATCCATAAAAATCCACGAAATTTAATCTACAAAAAACCGCAGGCGAATGATAATAAATGATTAAAATAGTACAAGATGCATCAAAGTAATAAACAATAAGATGATATCTACACTGACAGTGCAGGTAGCAGCAAATGAAATTCATATTTTAAATTCAAAAGTTTTAGTAAAAATATTTGTAAACGTAAAAATATTAATATTTTTATATTATTCATTATATACATCTGAAAGAATTTGAGCACACAGACAGAATAGTTACTGTATATCTCAGTAAAACGGTTTTAATTAAAATTTTCTTTTTTCATTTCTCGTACATAATAAAAATTTCTACCCTCCGATGGTTAGTTTCTGTCAAGTCATTTAGCTCGAGACAATTTAAGTAATTAAAATGTAATTTTAATAGAAAGGCTAGGGACAAATTTAATGGCGTCTCGAACTTGTTTTTCTCCGTAAAAGGATATTAACAACAAAACATTTCAAATTACCTCGTAAAAAAAGATTTATTGATCCTCATTGCGCGTTAACTGCGTAAGCACATGATATGGCCCCCACAATTTAGCAAATCGATCATCAGAGTTTAACGTTATGCTTCATTGTGGAGGGAAAATTGATTTTTAAACTAGTACATTTAGCTATTACGGAGGTTGCACAATAATGACGTTCAAATGATTACAAAGTATATATTGAAATAGGAAGCGTTTAGTGCATGCGATAATAGAGGAAACATAAGAAACGTATTGAGACTGTAGAAATAGTACTCGTTAGCGATTCTGAAATATTCATAGATGACTTTTAAGATGCTACGAGAATCCTCATTGACATCATATAATGTTTCATAATTTATAACCATGATTTCATAGACATATCATATATCTACACGAAAACAATAAATAAGAGTGTCAATTTTGTAAGCAATTACAATCAAATTCAATTTTCTTCAGAAATATATTCAAGATTTTAATTTACTGAACGATCTTTTATTAAGAAATTCGAATTCTAAGATAGAGTTAATCACATTATTTGTTTAATGAACCATCATAGCAAAGGATGAGTAAGTGTGTTGCTGAAGTATTTAATGAATACTTCAATAAGGATAGTTTTAATTGCAGTCTGACCGGCGGCAGTTGACGCATGGATTTATTCTGCTCAGCGGCTCAAGTAAACAACCTCTCGATTCGTGTTATATCATTACTATATCCTTTTTTTTTAATTCATTAGAGTTTAGGATACAGTATTCAATATTTATATTACATTTTAAACCTTCGTTTCTCCATTAAAAAATGTTTCTAATGCCGTAACCATTAACTGTGAGAATGCTTATAATTCAATATTTACGCGAAGTTCTAGATTTAGTTCTCACATTTTATTTCTCATTCATTTTGAACAATCACGACGTATCAAACTATACCTTCAGCAAGAATAAACATTATGTTTTCGAGATAAACAACACCATCAAATTCAGTATGTGCCATGGATATAGTATTATTATATATATATCGCTTTGATTATACTCATACATAATCCTATCCTTGAATGTCAAAGTGTCATAATTTTTTATTGAAGCTCCTTATTTCCTATTCCTTTCCATAAATTTATTTCTTACCCTTTTTCTTTGTAATGACATGTAATATATACCATGCGTATACAAAGTATTGAAAAAAGGGGTTTAAATTATTACACTGAAAAAAGTGAGAAATGCATTAGCAATACAGGTTCTAAAGTCAATTATTTTTAATATCTTGTATATAATTATGTATATTATATAACATGCATACTTCAGAAGAATATTTTCCCACGATTAGCAAGCATTTAGTTAAACGTGCCCCATTAAATTGCATTGAGCTTGTACAAATGAGGAGAAAATGCCCATAGTCCTACATATAGTGTCATTAGTATTAGATTCATAATTTCTAGAGCTCGTGCATGAAACTTTCACCAATCTGAAATTATTTTTAAAATCTATTGTAGACGTTTGTTAAAATGTAGGCGCAGTGTTGTGACGATTTCTACGATCAGGGCCGCCATGTGTTTTTAGTGCGAGCTGAAACTCTAACCAGGACAAGTATCGCGATACTCCGAACTCTAGTTGTATTTGCATCGAGAGTTAGCGAAACATAAAATCATCGGTGTTCCGAGAAACAAGGTCAAGTGCAGTTAGCACTTACTCAATCACGTTTTACCATTCTTTTATGGTTCATTTATGCGTTACTTATACAAGTCAATGACACAATAATAATATACTCTTACATTTCGATATTCCAGAACAAAGCATTTTGTAATATTTAAGTACAATTTCAAGCGTAAGAACCGTAAAATGAATATGCTTTTTTGGTACTTAGGTATTATACGGACCACCTTTGTTTTCTGACTGAAGGTCACGCTGGTCAATCATTTCAGTTAGGCCTGGATTACTATTTATTTAATATTACAACATATTATTAATGTTTTATTATTATTACCATTATTATTATTACTATTACAATTAATATTTTATTTTTTAAAAAGAAAGATAGTCCATATAGTACGTACCTACCGTCTTTTCATTTAGTTTTAATTTTTGAAACCTTCTGCTTATTAGTTTATTTATTTTTATTTGTACTCACAGTGCAAGTATATTTCACGTACAACTTGTGCATAAGTCGTTCACCGTTGTCTTATCAATCATCGACACACATCACAGATTACCAAAGGTTATTATTAGAATCTTGAATTTTCCTTTTCATTGAAACCGTGAATTTAAATTATTTGAAGTCGATAAGCCTTCGGCAATGTGTAGATTCTGTAATAATCCTGAATTGAATTGCGGTTCGTGATTAATTATGCGACCAAGGAAACATTGCTAGCAATGCGAATCACAATCTCGCGGCATGGATTCGTGCAATGCGGTTTTCATTATTACGTAACGCAAGTATTATTTACGGTCAGTGTGATAAGCTTGATTTCTGTTACCTGGATCCTTTTCTGCGGTGTGTCAGTGGCTTCCTGTTGTGACTTTTTACATCTCGTTTTTATTAGTTTTCTACGTGTATCTTGATTATGATATTTCTTCTTTACTTCGATTCTTAATAGTGAAACTACCATACTTTCTTTCAAACCACGTTTTCTTATGTCACAATTATTGATATCTTATAAGTATTAACCAGTTAAGTGCGTTCAACGCATTTATTTTTTCAGATAAATGTGTATTCTTCCTTGTTTTGCTTTAGTTTTTCGTTAGAATATATTATAGATGCATTTGCTCTGGGTTTAACAAGTATACCCTTTATTTGATTTTATTGTGTGCACAATGAGAGATTTTTCAAATTAAGTTCCACGGTTAATTGGTTAAATATCTAAAATGATCGTGAAAATGAATACTTTCACTTAAATACTATAACGAGTATATGAAGAAATCGATAAAAGTCTATTGTTACAACTTTGGCAAGGACTACATATTAATCGTATGAAACACTCAGTAGTTCTAGTGTTAAATGTTCGAATTCTTAAAATCAACCGTTCGAAGAGAGTGTCGAGCAGCATTGGAATGGCACAGAAAAACTTGAATAAAACGTGGGAGAAAATTAAAAATGAAAATGTAAAAAGAAGGAAATGAAAGAAAAACAAAGGAGGTGTGCATCATTTTTACAGTTTCAAATATCTATACTCTATTGTTAGAAATAATATTTACACGTTAAAGCGACAATACGAAAGTCCTGACGTCTGTTTACCATTTCGTTTTACTCAAATACCATATGCCCGGTCAAATAAGCGATCGTATATACACTAATACATAGACATATCGTATATACACTAATACAACTACCAATATGGTTTTCGTCGTCGTGTACGTAGGAGTGCATGTTTTCACTTGCAAAGCTTTGTATTTTCAAGATCATGATATAACCAGCGTAATTTGAATAGATTATCGATTGTTAAGCATTCGAAATCGAAAAGCCGATTAACTCCTTGAACTCAAATGACGAGTCTCACTTGTACGTGTTCTCACTGCGAAACTGGATTTCGCAAATTATTTTACAAATATGCTTTTTTCAACTTATATTATGTTAATTTTTTCCCCCTTTTCTAAATGTATTATATGGAATGCGTTCCATGTTAGGAACTCACATGTTCCGATAGAAAAATAATAATTATTCTAAGAAGAAAATAAATCTGCACCAATTGCTTTTGAATAGTAAAAAATAAATATGTTCAATGATAAATTGTAAACAAATAAAATTGTTTGGCCTATCTGAATTAAGAAGTTTGGCTATTTAATTCATCTTTCAGAAAATTTAACGTCCTATCAAACACAATAATGCTTTGCACTCAATGACAAATTCTTAATTGATGTCCAATTATTAATGACTGTTTTCTATTACTAATGAAGTACTTCCCATTGTAACTGGCACGTCAAGCTATTTATTTTCTGAAATATTGTGGTGTTCCATATTAGGCGCCGTTACTCTATTTACTTTTGGACATTATTAATTTGGGACGTCGCGTGTAGGATTTCCAGTTAGTAACTTACACTTCGCGTTTGAACTGTTTATTAACAAGTTGTAACTATAAACAACAAAAGCAACAATTCTTAACAAATAACGGAATAATAAAGAAATACGAAGAGTACAATGAAATGTTACTAGGCGCATGGAAGTCTAATGTGTCGCGAGCGAATTCCGGAGACGTACTGCCCAAAAAGCGTCGTGGCAGGCCCACGAGAAAACCGCCCCAGCTTTTCTCAAGCGTCCAAGTCGGAAAAGAAAGGCTTTTTCCAAAGCGCGCGAAAAATCTGTACGCGCTGTCTTACATTCAGGAAAAACCGTTGTCCAGAGGCCGAGCGTTTTATGGCCTTGCCTCGCGCGGCTACCTGGATGAGTTCAGCTTGTCGCGGAGTTCTCGTGACGCAGAAAATGTCTCTCACTATCCACCACATTAACATTGTGTGTCTATTGTTCTATAAGTGATTATTCTTTGAACACGTTGATCTCCATGATGGTTACTAACGATTGAAGCGTTCAAATTGCTTAAAAACAATGACAAGAAGAAAACTAATAAGAAATGAAAATCTTTAGTTACATATGCGATTAAATAATATTGTAACCTAAAAGCTATGATACTAGATCATTAATAAGAAATTCTAATATCATCTATCTTTGATACGAATGAAAGGATATACACGTCACTTTATTAATTTTTCTAGATAAACATGTAATTCTTCTTCGTTTTGCTTTGATATTTCATTAAAATATATTCTAGGTGCATTCGTCCTGCGTTTAACGAGTATACACTCCATTATTTGATTTTATTACACGCAAGATGAGCGATTTTAGAAACTAAATTCTACCTTCAGTAAGTTAAGAATAAATGGTTACCTTTTGTGTTTGTAAATTACAAAATTAAAGGGCTATTTGCTACGTAATTTAACTCTTTAAATAGTTGAGAGACTGACACCTAGACTCGATCAGCCGTGAATCGTCTAAAACGGTGTGCGCAGTACACAGATTTCTTTCATTGCTTTAACTGGTCTATTGAATCAACTAAGTGCTCGAGTTTCCTTTAAGATTCATTCTCATTCGTCTTACTTTACAATTCAATTGCTACTCTACATTCTCTAACCCTTTGATAACGGTAAACGCGTAATAGAAAGGCAAGTGTGCTTTATCATTCAAAAGTCTGAAAGGAGACATATATTTTTAGGCATTAATGTTTTATTAATGCGTATAAAGCGGCTTGATGTGATTTAATGTGAGAAGTGGAAAAATTTAATTTTCCAATCACTTTTAATTCATTCAATTCCGTTTGTATACGTGTTCTGTTATTCTTTCAAAGTGGAAAAGTTTGAACATAACATATTTCTGAAAATCAGTGGTGTGCCAAAAATTTATTATTAAGTTATTACTAAATGTTATATCTAAAGATGGAAATTTTTATGAGAAACTTTACTCTCAATCATTGTATATGAAAATTGCCAAAGTGATTAACAATTATTAATACAATTTGACGGATATTGAATCTTTTAAACACTATTTAGTAACAGTTTAAGTCGATTTTGATTCGTGCAATTATGCGAATACGCATTGCAATACTCTGATTTTGAAGCTATAATTTTCGCGATTTATGTAAACGATCAGTAGTTTTCTAAGAGTAATAAAATAAGATGTATAATAAATGTCCGTAAATCTATTGTGTAATGTGCAAAGCTCTTTTTGCATACTTACATTAATTTAAAACGAAGTATTTTCTCAAATAAACTTTATCTAATTATTATAACTGGATGATTATATAATAAATTATATCAAGAGAAATAAATATTTTGAAACAGATCAATTTCATTTTAACTAATTCAGATAACAAGACACAAAAACGTATTAAAGAAAAAAAATGTTATCAATTTATAAGACAAATAATGAATGTTCTGAAATTTGATGCGCGTTTTAAATATTTCTAACAATTTCGAAGAATTAAATCAGTAAAACAGACCTTTATTTGCTTCAGAGCCGTCGCGGGATACGTAAAACTTCTTTTCACTATTCGCTGCCACGCAAGGAAGGATCGAACCGTCGCAGATGTATTCCGACAATGTGCTTCTCGACACCCCAATAAAGTTTGTTTTATTTATGAAGATGAAGAATGGACGTTTCAACAGGTGAGATTCGAAATAAGTAATGCATAATTAACTTCTTCATTGAAAACTTCCTTCATCCGTTAATCGCTGTTTTTGTTGTTTCAACAGTCGCAATACATCAGATAAACATATTTAACACATTAATTGGTGTCCATGCATCGATGCCTTGCAAATCTGTTCTATAATATTAAATTTAGTAAAATTATGTGGAAATATATAAACGACTACCGACCATTTTATGGAATTGTTAAAAATGAATGTGTTAAAAATGTTTATATTAAATGTTAAAATGGCCCTCTCACAAACAATGATTACAAACTTGTATAGCTTTGGATTGTTTTTGAATATTAGTAATTTTAACAATAAAACTATTAGAAACTGTAGCTAATAAAAATTTCCGATACATAAGAAGATAGTTTTTAACTGAGTTCTTTTCGTATATTTAAAGAAACTTTTAAATCGAATTCGAAGTTATGATTTATAAAACTTCATTTAATTTTGTAATGAATACTAGGTTTTTACAAAAGAATCTTTTGACAAGAAGATACAGATAAAATTAATTTTTAAAAACTAAATAGTCACAAATATAAAAATTTGCTGCAAATAATATAAGCGTTTCAGGGGATACTTCTTTAAATTAATTTGGAAAAAGTAATTCTATTTGTACCATATTTTAATGTAAAGATTCCAAAGTATTTTAGTAAAAGAATTTTTGAAATATTTCCAATATTAATAATGTTGTTAATAAGTGGATGTATGGTATGTCTACTTAATTATGTGCTCTTTTTTATGCTTACGGAAATAGAATACATCATAATATGCGTTGATACATTATTGACATGCAGATAATAGAGGCAATATTACTGATCGAAATAATTGCTGATATTTTTGTTTTTGACGGTTGCAACATTTAATCATATCGAGTACGAAGCAGGAGTATTTGGAAGTAATTTTGCTATCGTCGTAAATGTTTTCTATTGTGGTGACGTGTAAATTATTGGTGGTGTTTTAATCAATGTTTTTTAAGTGCGCAATAATATAGAGACAAATTATAAAGTTTGCTATTCCTTGTGTAGTGATCTGTAATATAATGATACATATTTTTATTTGTCCCTATTTAATTTATTTATCACCAAGTCTGAAAAAGTGACATTGTACATATTTGTATTATAACCAAAGCTTTTACAATTGAATCTCATATTTAAAGATTGCAATATGAATGTTTTACTATTAGGAATTATATCTCGTATA